AAAAAAAAAAAATAAAAAAAAAAAAAAAAAAAAAAAAAAAAAAAAAAAAAAAAAAAAAAAAAAAAAAAGATGGGGATGTAGCTCTGTGATAGAGTATCACCAATTTCAGTCCTCAGTACTGCAAAAATAAACAGGTATTACTGAGGTATGTTTTACGTGCCAAAAAAAATTCATCCATTTTTGTTTGGAAATACACCAAAAATTACGGAATTGTATGGAGTTGTGTAGCTTTTGCCACTGCTAGGGACTGATTTGTTTTCTCCCCCAATTCATATGTCAAAACTTAACCCCACAAGGTGATGGAACTTGGAGACAGGCCTTTAAGTGGTAAATATGTTTAGATTGGAAGTCATGAGGATGAAGCCTCCATGATTAAATGAGTGTCCTCATAAATAGGGACACCAGTCATACTTTGTCCCTCCCTGTCATATGAGGAGGCAGTGAGAACGGTGCATTCAGCAATCTGGAGAGACCTCACCCAAACCCAGCCATGTTGGCCCTTTGATCTTGGACCTCCAGCCTTCAGAACTATGGAGAAATGAATTTCTGTTATGGAAGCCTAAATAGACCAATAATAGCCATATGCTAATTGTAGAACATTCCCATAATCCCAGTAGCTATCACTTCCCATTGCCACTTCTCAGTCATGGCAACCCATTGATCAATTCTCTGACTGTGAATATACCTTTTCTGGATATTTGACGTAAATAGGATCATACATTGTGTAGTCTTTTGTTCTGACTTCTTTCACTTAGCATAATGTTTTCAAAGTTTATCTATGTTATAGTATGTCAGTACTTGATTTTTTTTGTATGGCTAAATACTGTTTGATTGTATATATGCAATATACAGTATTTACTCATCTGTAGAGGATACCATCCAAGACCTCCAATGAATGCCTGAAACCTTGGATGGAATGCCAAACTCTCCTTATACTATGCTCTGCTGTTTCCTATATACACATGCCTATAATGAAGTTTAAATTTATAAGTTAGGCAGTCTAAGTGTAATGATAAGAATAAAATAGAACAGTTATAACTGTTACAGATGGTGCATGAATCCACTCATTTAAAATGGACTTTTTTGTTCTGAGGAAGAGAAGTTTATTCCAGTGAACAGGTACTAAAACCAGGGAGATTCTAGCAGCTAGCAGGAAAGGAAAAGTCTATACATATATGGATTTTGGGGAAGGGGCTATAATCATAAGGAATGTTTATGGCTTGGGTGCCAAAGGACAGTCTGCTCAGGTGTGTAGACAAACACTGGACTTCTCGGTGCTGTGGGGTTGTGTACTTTGTTTTGAGTCCATTTGTCCTATTTACTAAGAAGCTGCTGCTGTTTGCTGAAAGCAGCCTGTTTGCTTTGTCCCATTTGTTTAGGCCAGACCTGACAACAATATACCATGATGTAATTGCCAGCATCACTATTTTTACGCACTACTAAATACAGTAAGGGTTACTCGAACACATGTACACCATGATACCACAACAGTCGATCTGATGACCTGAACTGCAGGTGGCATATACAGCTTGGATCTGGTGGACAAAGGGATGATGATTCATATCCCAGGTCGGGTGGAAGTGGGGCAGCATGAGATTAAATCACGCAGTCTAGAATGGTGTGTGATTTAAAACAATGAATTGTTTATTTTTAGAATTTTTCATTTAAGATTTTCAGACTGTGGTTAACTATAGGAAACAACTATGAAAAATGAGACCACGAACAAGAAGGGACTACTGTACCATATTTTATCTTTTTGTCAGTTGATGGATATTTAATTTTTTTTTCCAGTTTAGGTCCATTATAAATAATGCTGCCATGAACATTTTGTATACATTTTTTTTCTCATTGAGTTTATTGGTCTAATTTAGGCTTACATTATGATCACATTCATCTTAGGGAATTTGTGCCTGTACGTGACAGTATCTTGGTTCTTATTTTTTTCCCATTCCCCTTCCCTCCCTTCCACCCTCCCTATTTACAAATGCTTTGTTTCCATTATTTCCTTATTTTTTTCTTTACCTTCTTAGATTTCCCCATCCCCACCCCTAATTCCCCTTCCCCTTTGAACATTTTCTTACTTTTCACAATATCTATTATACATTTTAGTCCTCATTTACACTTCCTCACACTAGAGAATTCAGTATAGAAATTTTAGTGTATGTGCTGAATTGAAGTGAGCACTTACATACATTTTTATGTGGAAGCATGTTTTCATTTCTCTTCGATGTATGAGTAGAATGGCTGGGTCATATGGTAAATCTATGTTTAGCACTTAAACCCCCAAATTATTTTTCAAAGTGGTTTTACCATATTATATTTGCATCAGAGTACATTAGGGATCCAGTTTCTTACTACTTCACCAATTTTTTTTTTTTTTTTTTTTAATGGTACTGGGGACTGAACTTGGGCCCTTGTGCTTGTGAGGCAGGGTGCGGAACCACTGAGCCAAATCCCCTCCCCTCTCACCAAATCTTTTTATAGTCTATTTTTTTACATCATTTTAAATTCAGATGCTCTTCAACTTATGGCAGGATTACTGTTACAGGAGGAATTGGCAAGTGTCAAGAGAGGCGGCAGAATGGAAGTAAAATAACAAAACTTTATTCCATCGATGGGGACTGACCACATCTAATGGCAGTGCCCTGATCAACCCAGTACTGGGCTACAACTCACTCTTTTATAGGGTTTTACAGCCTTGATCTCATTCAGGTGGATACATTTCATTTTTACAGTTCACATTGCTGATACTCAACATGGTGGGGAGGCACTTGAATTTCAACCTGGATGTTGCACTTCTTTGGTAGGGGAAGTTACCTTTAAAATTCATCTAGTTATGTTCTAGCCCAAGGGAAGGGGGCATATCTGGTCAGCAAGGTTAACAATGGTTCTTTTCATTTACAAAGCTTTTTAGGGAGACTAGATGCCTCCCCTGCCTGTTGATTCTGAACTAAGCAAAGCAAACAGCATATGTTATTTTACATTGAAGTGTTCTCTATCATTACAACTTGGTAAAACTATCAGAGTTGTAAATATTGCAAGCTAAATATGCATTTAATACACCTAACCTATTGAACAATCCTGTTACTCCTGCACACTACAGAGTGTCATGTATCTATCTTCATGATCGCATTGGCTGACTGGGAGCTGTGGCTTGTTACTGCTGCCCAGCATCACAGGAGGGTACTGTCCTGCATATCACTCATGGCATCCAGTACAATCGCATTGTGTACAGTTATTCACAGCCATCTATTTCCAAAGTTTCTTTCATCTTTCCAAACAGGTACCCCGTACTCATTAACCCTTAGCTCCTCATTCTTCCTCCCAGTGCCTGACACTTACCTTCTACCTTCAATCTCTGTGAACTCCACTACTTGAGTTACTTCAGATAAGTAGAACAGTACCATATTTGACCTTTTGTGATGAGGTCACTTCACTTAGCATAATATTCTCAGGGTTTTTCCATTTTGTAAAATGTTTAGAGTTTTATTCCTTATTAAGGTTAATATTCTGTATTTATG